ACCAGGGGCGCTTGGTGCATTGGGTTGGAGAGTGGAAGTGGGCAGCTAGGTTTCGGTGTGGGATGATCAGTCTGGCAGGAACTGGCCAGCAAGTGGGGCCAGACCTAGCAGGGAGAATGGAGAGGGTCAGTGGGAAGCAGGAGCTAGGGTGGGATCAGAGAATACCACCTCTGAGGCCAGGCCGCCTTGATACTAGATCATTTTCTTCTCCCAGCACCAGGAGCCGCTCCCCCATTTCTGATCTATGCCCTTTGGTGCCCAAGGTGGTAAAGTCATGGTGGGCTGGTTCCCCAGGCCCCTTGGGGCAGTCGTTCTGGCTTGCGGGGCGGCTGGCTCTCCAGGCCCACTAGGGGCTGGCAGTCTCATCCAGCTCCCCACGCTCCTCAGGGCTGTGGGTCTCACCGGCATGGGCTGCAAGGGGCCTGGCTCGCCACATCTGCCCTGCTGGTCTAAGAAGAGAAGAAAAAGGGCCTGTTGAGTTTGTGAGCTCCAATCCATCCCTACCCCTCCCACTTCCGGTAGGGACTCGGCCCAGTTCTTCTGAGCGCACGGCCCTACCAACTCCATGAGGACATTAGGCGCGCACAGCGTGGCATGAATGGGCCAAGAGACTTGGGGCAGTGTCCACAGAGGCAGTGGAGTCGAGAGGACAGAGCATCTCATGGGGGACTCAGCACCGGCCAGGTCTGGACCCACGCTAAATAGAGGACCTGCACTTTCCTTCACCTTCCTTGTGCTCCCAATGTATTTTAAAAAACCTCTTATTGCCTTTTCTGTCCCTTGCTAGGTATCCCTCATTTTTTCACTACATGCTTATGCTATTCTTTTGTGCTGCTCCTTAGCAATTCATCCATGATTTTAACTTACTAGAAACAACTACCACTTAACCCCCAGCCCTCACTGGGCTCAGAGGCGCCATGGGCTCAGGTTGTGATCTCAACAGCCATCTCGCCTTGTCTTTGGGGTGAAGCTCTCCCTCCGTTTCTGGAGTCCATGACATTGTGTCAATGTCCAAAAATTGTAGGGATTAGAGAGCCTTTCTCTATAACTGCTCTAGGACCAGGGAACCCCCTGCAGCCCTACGAGATTCCAGAGCCACGAGTCCAGCTGCCCCGGAGGATGATGTACAGACCTGGCTGAGGAGATGGGGCGAGTCCAGTGCCTCTCAAACCTCTTTGTCAGGAGGCCCCACTTGGATCGAAGCGGAGGAGTTCAGGCCCCATCTTCCTGTGTGTTACAGGTGATATCCAGGCGGTAGCTACTAATGAAATATGGATACTTACAGGGAGAACAGCCGGTACCTGGACATGGTTCAACATGGTGGATGAGCTTGTCTCGGTGCATGGCACTAAACCAGATGGGGAAAAGAGTGTCCAGTTTCCATGTGGATGAGTGACCCAAGGGGAACAGGGCTCATGGGAGAACATCCCTGGAGGGATGAGGCTCCGAGGGGCAACATGATGGGGGGGTGGATAATAGCATAGCAGGGGACAGGGAGACCCAGTGGGTTACAAGCAGGTGGAACAGATCGCTTAATTTCATCCTACCTGTGAGATATTTCAGCGTGTGGAATAAAATTCCAAAGAGAAACAACAGCAGCACCATCCCCTGGACATTGGAATCCAGACAGGACAGAGCTTTGGTCTGCCAATTTCTCTAAGGGCACCAGAAACCTTCCCTGTAACTCAGCACCCCAAAATTTCTCAATACCCTTGGGGCTGCTTCAATGACTTTTCCATCCCCAGGGCTCACGGCCAAGCCAGGCTGCGCTCCGAGAGTCACTGTATCAAAACGCTTTACTCCAGTCGTCCCATTGCATCTCCTGAAAGTCCTCCAGATGCTACATCTCAGGCTCTTGCTTCCTACCCCCATTCCGAACCTCTCTAGGGCCTGCTGGATAATGTCTCGTTCTTTGCTGGTGTCGGACCCAATTCTCCGTTGATAGGGAAAGGTCTGAAAACAAGAACGATGTAGTTATGGAGGGGCTACGTCATAGCAAAGAGGAAAGAGGGGACTCTACTCCTAGGAGGGTGTGAACGCTCAGAAGGCAGAGGAGGCATGAAGCATGGCACAATGAGCAGAAGGCAATGGGGCTGTCAGGGAGATCTAACTGGGTGGGGAATAGTATCTCAAGGGAAAGAATAGAAGCCTCATTATTTGGGACATTTGAAACCAACCTGCACACTACATGAACGTACCTAGGGAAGCAATGCTTCTGGGACAGAGAGGAAATAGTCCCCTAGTAGAACGAAGAGGTTCAGGTAAAGTAATTAAGAGTCAACAGGGAAGTCCACATTCATGCCTATACCTTGTAGGCGGCAGCTAGTGATTCATGCACACACATCCACAGCTGGTGGGGTGTTGTTCCAGGGTGGGTGCCCAGAATTGCACCTGTTCAAATCGGTGGTGAGAAAGGGCTACTCCATTGCATAATGCTGTAACACACAGGGGTGTGTGGGTGTGGGTGTGTCTGTCACTACCCTCTGTTGGTCCAGGGAACTCAGATCTATGGTCAGGAGAGACACCCTTGGCCTAAGTTCCCAGCATAGCCTAGCCCAGGTGTGAGCATCCCCATCGCAAAACCCTGCTACTCACCTGACTGTGTCTTCACTACATGGCCCATGGTCCCTGGTGCGGAGATTCTTTCCCAGGCTGTTGGGGAACCTGTCTCTCCTTGGGGAGGGAATTGTGGGACAGCATCAGAGGGTAGTCAGCATTCAAATGATTTTGCCTGCATCCTTTCTGCAAAGCAGGCGAGTTCCAGCCTGAGTGAAAGCAGCGCCCAGACTCCCCGCTCCTCCATGGGTCAGGGCTTCACACACCCCCGCTCTCCGCTCAGAGACGAGCGTGTGTGGATGGCAGGGGAAGGCTTAAACCCAGTTATGAGCACATGTGACCTGTGCCGTGAAGTCACCCCCTAGCAGGATTAAGGCTTATAGACTAAATAAGCGTCTCTACAAGCTCACGGGACTGGAAAGGACCTGCTGGGTCAGAGGTCAGGCCCTGCTTTCACAGGTACCTCTGTCCTATAATCCAGTCAAAATTAATCAGCCCCCCACCCCCCGGCTTCTGTTGGGCGGCTGTTCCTGAACCTCCCTCAGCTGGCTAGAAGCCGCCTTCTCCCTTCCCTAACGCCCTGTTCATCCCCGGTTCTTCCTGTGCCAGCACCATCCTTTGGCTTCAATCGTTCTCCCTCCCGGGTGGAGCCGTCAAATCCCCTCTCAGCCTCTGTAGGGCCAGGCCCAGCCAGCCAGGCTCTTCCAGTCTCCTCTCCTAAGCCAGGCCTGCATGCCCCTGATCATCCTCCTGGCTCTTCTCTGCCCTCGTTCCACTTCGAATTCCTCTCCCTCGAACCCGGTGCCCAGAACTGAACTCACTATCCCAGGTGAGGCTTGGCCAGCACCCTTGCTAAGGGCCTAAAATCCCATCAGCCAGCCCACTAAGGGGACCCTGGTCCACACTGGGAACCTCATTTGGGCACACGGGGTGCTATGGATGGGATTTCAAACCATGCCGGGCTGGGTTGGTAAGCTCCCCGTTTTCCTGCACAACTTCTATTTGCTCCTTCTCTACTTCCCCGTCCAGCTTCAGCTCTAATGGACACACAGCCTATTGAACCTCAGCCCCTCTCAGCTCTCACGCGCTGTAGCCGGCTCCTAGGGCTGCTCTTCCCTGCCCCAGGGAGAGTGGAGGAAGGTTTATCCAGTAACTGGATTTCACCGGCTGCCTCCTGGAGCTCACCTAGGGCAGCAACCCTGGCTGGGCTGAGGAAAGACGGGTTCTACCGGCCATCGCTTGGGTGCTAAGAAAGGAGCAGCGAGTCTCCCATCTCCCGTTTCCTCCTAGCATCAACTGGGAGCCAGCGAGCAGCCTGGAGAGGTGAGAGCAGACAGAGCAGCTTCCAGCCTTTAGGGAGAGCCTTCAAAAGAGACAACACGGCTCTTCTAATTGGCACGTTTCCTGGATGCTGAAGTGAACAGATGTGATGGCCTCACAACAGCGGAGATGGACGAGTCACAGCATTAGCCCATTCGTTTGAGCACTAGCCACAGAATGCTCGAGAAGTACCAATCCACAACCATGACGGCTCAGCTGTGGGTCAGAGGGCCTCTCCTACGAACATAAGAATGGCCCTGCTGGCTCAGGCCAATTGTCCATGCAGTTGACCAAACAGAGACTTGGCTTTATCTCCCTCCTCCTATCTCCCAAAGGATGAGGCCATCTAATTACTCATCGACATTTACCAGCCAGTGCCAGCTGCCTCCTGCTCACATATGCTTGGGCTGATGCCCAGCTGCGGCGTCAGCTGTGACCACAAAGCTGGGATCGGGAACAGCCGAAGCTCCAGTGAAGGTGTTCGCAGTGGAAGGGGAGGCAGGTAACGGGGGCCCAGCAGAGCTCAGTCTGTATTAGCTCCGTGCTGTGAGATTCAGGTTGCAGGGGCAGGTTTGTATCCCAGTGAAACTCAGCAGGGCGGATGATCTTAGCATGCCCATCTCCAGAGCCAGAACGCTGGGCCACAGTTCAGTGGATGGGAACCAGTCACCTGCAGGGAACGTGCAGCCAAGGGTGGGGAAAGCATGCAGGTGTGCCATGGCTAATAAAACCCTCCTCACTGGGACCACCCTCCCCATGCAGCTGCTTCCACCCCTTGTGACCCCCTCCCTCAGAGCAGTGCCTGGGCGGAGATGGCTGAACCAGCTACACCAACCCCCGGCCATTCTGACTCCCTCCCCGCAGTCAGCATCAAGAGCACGGCCAAGGGTGGCACCATCCAGCCTGAGACTTCACCGGAGAGCAGGGCGAAGCCAAGCAGGGGCAGGCAGCTAGAGACTTCCCTTCCATGAGCTTGACCCAGCTGGACAATAATCTGAGCACATCCCCAGCTGCTGTCACCTCCACCTGGGGCTCGTTGCCAGGTTGGTTAGAGAAAGCGGCAGGTCTGATGATGCAAGGGGCCCAATGGGTGGCGACCAAGCGGTAAGGAAGACGCTGAGCCATCCGGCTTGCCTGATTTATTCGTTTTATTCCTAAATAAACTGCTCCAGGACAAGGTACAAAATCTCCTTTTCCCTCATGAAACAGAACACGGGATTTTCAGGGAGTGTTTTCAAGGAACCGGCTTCAAAATCCAGATTCAAGGCCTCTAATTCTAGCGCAGAGAAAATATTCAGATGTCAAGACCTCTGGGTCCCCTCTCACAGGAGAGCCCAGGACTCCTAGGGGTCCCACCCTCTCCGGAGAGTCCCAAAGCAGCTGGGGACCCCCCCTAGGGAGATCGGTCCCTTAAACTGGTCCCAATCAGAAAAAGGCAGTTCTAACTCTTACAGGAGAACAAAGAAAACAGAGACAGCCATTTAACGACATGGGGAGCATGCGGCTTTCCGGGAGCGCCAATCCTGCTTCAGTCATGTCCTTCACCAAAGGGCAGAGGTTTCCCAAGCCCTCCTCCCTTGGGAGAACCATGCCTGACACACACCCCTCACGGGCTCCATTCCCTGCTCCCTGCAGGCAGGGACTCTCCCTCAACGCTGACCGCGCTGGTGCACATTGATGGTCCCCTGCCCTCTGAGAAGGCAGTGCCCAGCCCCCGCTGCCGGGCAGACCAGGGAAGGTGGCTCACGCTCCCAGAAGGCCCCGCAAGTTTGATTTTGAACGTGGCTTGGCCCATCGGCCCACGGGGACGGTTCTGCAGTCCCACGGATTCCCCCCACACCTTGATTTCCTCAGCCAGGAGAGAGACAAGTTTCCCCTCAAGCTATGGGGCATCAATCCTGCTCAGTGCTAGAGAGCTGGTGTTCCCACTGCCAAGCACAGAGGCCTGGACCCTGAAAGGTATTTCGACGCCTAATGCCCAGTGGGAGTTATACCTTTAAGGGTCCAGGCCTAAAGCACAAGCAGGGCTAAGCCTTGGGGAAATCCAGATTTCTGGCATCAAGGGCAGGACAAGTCCCTCTCCCATCCCCAGCCTGCTTGAGAAATGCCCTGACTAACAGCAGCCCCGTTAGCCAGGGTGGGGAGTGATGGGGCCGGGGAGTGTGTTACACGTTCTGCACTGGATACACAGACAAAATGAACCCGGTTGGGCAGGTGCGGAGGGGCAAGGGGCTGGGGAAGGAAGCGAGGGCGGCTCAGTTGATGCTGTCCTCGTCGCTGCCCTCGCCCCGGTCGTCTTTGGTCTCGGACAGGCTGCTCTCGTCGATGTTCTCTAGCGAATCGGCATGCTGGATGGAGAGCTCCGAGAGCGCCACGGTGGGGAGGGTGCTCTGCTCGGGGAACAGCCAGGGCTTGAAGTGAGGGTTGTGCTTCTGCTTCCAGTCGGGGTACTTGAGGCAGGCTTTGTACATCTTCTTCATGGCCTGGGGGGGTTAGGGGGGGGCGAGTGGGCAGAGAAGGCAGGAGACAGGTCAGAGCCGCTCGAGCCATCAGCGAGCGAGGCATCTGCACCTAGGGTGGCAGATTTGGCCACTGGGTGCTACTCAAGCATGGGCTGGCTGCCCCTCCACCGTGATGGAGGGTCATCCGGGTCCAACCTGCCGGCCTAGGCCTATGAGGAGCGGGGAATACGCTCAAGCTTTGCTGAAGGCTGCAGATTGTCTAGAGCGGCCTCTGGTCAGAGCCAAGGCTAGGAAACAACTAGGGACCGGTGCAGGCTGCATCTTCCCACCTGGATGCATGGCATCCCATGTCACGGCTGCCATCTTCCCACCTGGATGCTTTCTGCAGCCAGTGTGGGCCTCAACCCTGGCTTAGGAGGGGCAGCGTGGCTGACTGAATCAACCGTGGTGCCTCGAGCCCATCCACAAGGCATGGCATCGACCAACGAGCCCGACGGCATCCTTGACAGAGCACCGGAGGGTAAGTGACTCCTCCCCAGCCCAAGTAGGCAGGGATTGAAGTCCCTTGGGTGACCTATGTGAACTGGGCGGTGGGGTCTCATCCTAGTTAAGGGAGAAGCGTAACCGGACACCGAAGGCAGCCATGTCCAGTGGGGGTGTCTCTGGCTGCAATCTGCCTTCTACCCCACCCACGTCACCAGAACCACCCTTACCAAGAACCTGTGGTTGAACTGGACCCTCTTTTAGAAAGCCACCCCACCCCACCACCACGCGACGACTTCACCACTGCCCCGGAGCAGCAGGTCCAGTGCTTGGTGACCCTCACTCTTTGAGATCTCCAATTTCCATCTGGGACATTTTCTAATCTCAATTGCCAGCCTCTGGATCTCATCGCGCCTTGGTCTGCTGGGATAAAGGGCATACTGACACCCAGCATCTTCTCCCTGGGCTGCTACTTCTAGACTATGATGGATTCACCTCTTCACCGGCTCTCGGGTGAAATGGATGGTGGCCACCATAAAGGTAGCAAAGCCAGCCAGCCAAGAGGCAGAAATCACTGGGGCTCTAATTAAACCATGGGGTCAGTAGCAGGTATCTCCATTTGCCATCATCCATCACTCTCGGGCACTGTTCCGGGCAGAGGCTGGAGGTGACAGATTCCTGAACAGCTTCACCACCTGAGCTAAGGCATTAAGTGCTGGGCTGATGGCAAACCAAAGCAACCACATGATAGCGAAGACTTGAGAGCGTCCTACAGCCGGCCACGTATGCCAGGTCTGTGGACGTGACAGCTACAATCCAGAGCCAGGAGATCAGGGTATCCCAGAAGAGGAGGAGAGCACCCGACGCCTACAGCGAGAGACGTGATCATGGGATAGAATCGATAGCCAGGCCAGACTGGGACACTTACCTTTGGAGCCAGAAACTGAGACGATTTGTTCACCACCCACTTAGGCAAAGAACCTACATAACAGAGACAAGAAGAATGAGGCAGAGACCTGATGCCACAGCTAGTCCGCACAGTACATCCTCAAATGCCTTGGAGATGACCGCCGGTTTGGCCAACACACCAGGGATTGAACCACGAACCTCCAAAGCTAGAAGCATGAGCTGCTACAGAACTGAAGCTCTGTAGCTGGGACTGTAGAAGGCTCAGTTCCTCTGTGGATCAGCACAGAGGGGGACCTGTAACACACTCCCAGGGGGTTAGACCTTCACGGAGCGGCAGTGAGCCAATTCCAGCCCTTAGCACAATTGGGGTCTGAAGAAAGCCATTCTGGGAGGGGTCATTCATAGAAAAGTCTGCTTGAGGGATGGCACAGGTCAAGACCACCTTGAGAGCAAGCAGCCGTGGAGGAAGCAGGTGGGGTGAAGGAGGAGGAGGTCAGGAGATGAAAGGGTCGTAGATGGCAGAGTAAGTCTGAGACGGAGTGACCGTTCTAGAGCATGCAGGAGAGGGGCGGTGGGGCCGGGGTCTGCCTATCTCCCTGAGCACCGCTGTAAAGGGAGCCCCTCGCTCTAAGCAGAACTGCAGTCTGCACCTGGCAGGGCCCTGGGATTTTACACCCAGGGAGTTTCCCTTATGCTGCTCAAAATGAACTCTTTCCTTGAAGAGATGGTACCACTCAAGTGCACCAGGGAGGGTGCTACAGCAGGGCCTCAGCGATGCGGTTTACTCCGCAGCTTCCCACCACAGACAGACGCCTCCCCTCAAAAGAGGCAAGATTGGCAAGGAGGGAGCAGGGTTTTCTCGGCTAGTGGCAAATCTAGCTGGGATTTCCGTCTGAGACCTGCGAACCAGCAGGGTTCTGCTCTCAGGTTCCCTGCACAAATCTCCTAGGCCTCGCAAGGCTTTAGGCTTATTAGGCTCAGTGCAAAAGAACTGTATATTCTGCAGAGCATCCCTCAGCCGCCCAGCGCCCTGAGAGGATTGGCCGTAAGTTAAGAGACAGGAGAAGATTTTCCGACAAGAGGGAGAACTAATTAGAGATACAGGGAGACTTCTACAGAGGGCGGGAGCTGCACCAGAGACGGATGCTCCCCCCCACACGCTGGCGAGGCAGTGGGGGTTTAGTGACAGACAGGGATACTGAAACGAACAGGGAGGTCAAGGGACGAGGCGATGTGGTTACAGCTCTTTGGACCCGCGAGCAATAGAAAGTGGCGGGGAAAGCGTCTGATAGGGCCTTGCAGCCCCTCGGAGCCAGCACCACCCCAGGCCGCGCGATTACCTTTGGGGTCAACCTGGGCAAGGTAGGTGATGGAGCAGCTCTTGGCTCCTCTCCCCTGGATCAAGTAGCCTGTCTGGATGGACACCGCTCTCACCAGGTCTTTCCTTGGAGGGTATTTCTGCAGAGAGGGGGCAAGGGGAACAGAAACAGGCTGTTTGTGACAAGGAAGGGACTGGATAATGCACCCTCAGCTGGGTAGTCAGAGGGTCCATTGGCAAGCAGACCAGGCCTAGCCCCCCCATCCCCAGAGCTAGGGGGAGCTGCCTCCCAGTGGGGTCAACTCAAGACAGGGCTGTTCACTCACCCTGTGTTACACATACTCTTTGGGCCTTAGCTCAGCCAGAACCCAGAGCCCAAACCCTGCAGGCTTAGCAGGTGGTAGAAGAGGACAGGAGCTCTGCTACTGAAATCAGGGGACGCAGGATTAGACCCTGTGTCTTTATATCAGGGGCTGGAGCAAAAGCCCAGAAGTCCCAACTTTGGGGCACCCTGGAAACAGATTCCCGTTTTGTGGCTCGACTCCGTGGAGGATTCAGAGCGTTGGTGGGCGAGGGAGCAGTGGTGCTGCTGGACAGCTGAGCCAGGGGGCCGCCGTTCCGACCCACGGCTCTCCCTGCTGCCCAGGCCAGGCCTCTCCTAAGCAGCTAGGATCAAGGGGGCCACATTACGTGCCGGTTTTATGATCTACGTGGATGGGCAGTAAACCGAGACCATTAAATCCAGCCCCGCAGAGCTCAAAGCCTATCGCATGACTTAACCCCCCAGAGACCCTTTCCCTACGGAACAACGGTGCGCCACGAGGCACGGTCAGTAGCGTAAGCACCAGGGCTTCCAGCTGCATTGTGGTGATACTAATAGCGAGTCATGCCTGTGCAATACTGCCCTCTACTGGACAGGGCAAGGTGCCCAGCTGCGTGTCAGAGGCCACGTTATATAGGAGTTAATGGAGAGTCTCCCTTAGGCCCCTGTCGCTTGAACTATCCTTTGGAGCAGGAGGACCCGAGCTCCAGCCCTGCTGCGAGGTTCCACGTGACCCTAGGGAGTCAGACTTCTTGGTCGTGAGAGTCCTGGGTGACCAAAGCGTCGTTAGGACAGCTGAGGTTTCTGGGGTTCCTTTCACACGCAGCCATCTCTAGTGCGCTAAGGCCCCAGCAGTCCTCGGCTTGCTGCACAATAGCAAGGAGGGGGCGCGTTCGGGAGAGGACACTGGGGGCAAACCCTGGTCTTAGGGGATTTTTAATGCCTCGCAGAGTCGCCCTGCCAGGGTTTCGGCCTGTGATGCTGGGGCTCATGTGGGGTTGTCGCCTCCTGTGTCCTACTGAGCCAGTGCTGCAGGCAAGGTACAGTCCGAGCTGATCCCTTCCGACCTCCCAGCTCCGTCCATCCCGCCCCCCGGCTGGTCAGTGGCGGGCAGGGCACTCACGGGGTGTTTGACCGAGTAGTTCATGATGATGTAATCAGCTCCCGTGGGCAGCCAGGAGCGCAGGGTGATGACGTCTCTGTTCTTCAGGGGCTTGGGGCACTTCCCTGGGAAGGGAGATGGGGAAGAAGAAAGGGGATCTGGCTCTTGAGTTGGGATAAAAGACTTACCCCACCCAATTCCTCAGGAGCTAGGGGAGACAGAGGGGTGTTCTCTGTGTTGCTAAACAGTCCCAGATCCTCCTGCCCCGTCAGCCCCCCGCTAGTATCCATCTCCAGACAGGCCCAGGTTCCCCCCCCCCATTGGCCCCACACTAAACACCCATTCCGAGACAGGCCCAAGTCCCAGATCTCCCATCAGCCCCATACTAGTATCCTTTCCCAGACCCCCCCCTCCCATCGCCCCCACCCGGATACATTCCCCGGACCTTTTCTTTATCTGACCATTTATGTTGTGCTTCTCCTCAGGATGCTCGGGTCCCACATCCCCACACCACTAACCCTCCCCACCCCCTACGATCCCTTGCCCCCATCTCCAGCCTTTCAGCAGAGGACAACTGTGTCCCCTCGATGTCCCTGGCCCCGCTCCCTCCTTGCTGGTGGTTCCATTCAGGCTAAATGCAGCGGATCAGGCTCACTGGAGACGACTGAACGGACGCTGTCCGAACCCTGGGCACAGCCTGGTGCTCAAGTCAAGCCCCTCCAGAGCACCCCGCTAACCAGCCCCACCCGCTACAGCAGCCGCTGAGCGCAAATGCTGCACGGATTTTCGGGGAGTGGGGGGGGGCTCTCTTCCCCTGGGGCCCACTCCCCCCGGCTCCTCACAGGCGTAGTAGCCCACGTCCGAGTTGACGGTCAGCTTCCCAATGTCGAAGGTCTCGATGACGTTCGTGTCCCACTTTTTCCGGTACTCGATGTCGTGCAGCACGTCGTACAGCGTGTCCGCGGCGATGTCCTTGCACTCCATCCTGCACTGCAGAGACAGACCAGGTGAGAACCTGACACAGGCAAAAAGGGCCACCGTCCCGCTCAGGGCCGACACCTGGTATCCTACAGGACCGGCTTGGCCTGGCCCACAGACTGCAAGCTGTTGGGGGCACAGACCTGCGAAGGCAGGGAAATATTTGCAGATCAGAGAGGAAGGACAAGCAAGGGGTTAGGCACCAAACTCGGACTCGAACCCAGGTCTCCCATGTTCCCCCCTCCCCTTGCTCTGCCTCTGTGACAGGGGGCAAGTCACTTAGACACTGCATGCCTCAATTTCCCATCTGTACAATGCTCTGCCCCAGGCACTGAAGATTGTGAAGTGCTCCAATACGGTGGCAATGGGTGTCATACGCATGGCAGATAAACAGCCTGAGGAGGGCTGATCTAACCCCTGTTACCCCCTCCAGAAGCTTTCAGCGAGCCGCACACATCTCACCCCATGGGCTCTACACAGGTGTGATCCATCTCATGGGACAAGGAGCTGGGGGGCACCTCCAAGGCTTGGCTCCCGCTCGCAGAGCCCAGTGCTGGAGCGTGACGGTCACGAATGCAGGTCGCTGGCTAACACCAATATTCTGAATCGAGAACGCACCGCAAGGCCAATCGGGTTATTTAGACCAGTCTCCCCCCCAGACGTCCCGTGTCGATCAGCCCATTTGAAGCCCAGCCCCCTTTCCAGAGGGTTGACGAATGTAAGTGCCCCCCGCCCTTCCAGTCAATCAAGCCTATAGCAGAATCATTTTCTCTTGCGGGCACCGACCAGGGCCTCGGGGTTCCTGGCACCCTACAAACGAATAACTGGATCCAAGGCTCGCGGCCGCTAGCTCCCTCTTGGGTCACGAAGTCTGTATTGCACTGCCTCACTCAGGCCCTATGCAGCTTCCATCAGATACAGCAAGTCTCTGGCAAAGGAACCGGGAGCTGTCTCATCCCGAGTCTCGCCATAAACCGGGAACATCACTGGGGTCGGACAGGAGGAGACTGAAGAAGTTTGAAGATCAACAGCTGGCTACGGAGCAGCACTACTTCCCAAAGGATGCCCCCCCACCCCCACCAGGCCAGCGGTGTAGCAGCTGTGATCAGAGGGTATTAAACAGAGGAGCGACTGCAGGGCTTCAACGCGGAAATCCACACCACACGACAACGTCCAGCTGGAGTCTTTGATTTAAGAGCCGACAGAGAGCGGGGTGTGCGCCATTTCGCAGGATTAACGTATGCGTATAGAAGGCCTGTCTCTCCCAGCACTTCATAGCTGGGCACAGGCAGGGATCTCCTCCCTCACCACTGAAATGCAGCCAGCTCTGGGGAGGAACGTGGCAGCAGTTTAGCAACGCAGAGCAGAAGCTACAGACCCGGTTAGGAGAGGTGGTGAAGAATGCTGTACCCCACTGAAGGCGGGGCAAGGGGTAGTTAGAGCGAGGTGGGGTGCAGTCCCATATCATTAGTTAGGATATTCAGCCAGGACACTGGAGCCAACATCCCTGCTCTTGGGAAAACAGTATGAAATGGGATATTTAAGTCCTTAAGAACGTCAGCAGCACAAACACCCACTGCGGCCAGGCTGGGCCACTATTTTGTACAGATTCCAGCGAGAGGGAAGCCACCTACTGAATCTCCAGCACTGCTCCCTGCGGCACCTGGATTTTCCTGTCCATATATTGACCCGGCCTGACTACTTAGCGCGCAAGATCTGATGAAAACACAGCCGATGGCTGCAGCATCTTAGAACCCAAGACTCCGGACAAGTCACATGCTCCGTCAATGGCTCTTTGGCTCACAGCAACAAAACCATCCTCGCCATAGGGTGGCTGGAGTTAAATTTCCCTCACCCTCTCTCTGTCCATCCCATCAGGAGTGGAGGGAGGCGAAAATGCCTTCTAAATCCTCTCCCCCTGAACGGCAAAGCTCAACTGCCTGAAGTCAGCAGCCTCAGAGTTTGTTCGATCAATTAGATAATCAAAGCCGGAATGTGACCCAAACCCAGAGTGGGCACAACGGGGTCAGAGGCAGGTTTAATTGATCAAAATACAAAGCATCAGCTCCTCTCCGCCTCCCCTTCACTGTCTGTGGTAACCATCGTACAGACGGTAGCCAGCAGATCCTCTGAACCCCAGGCAGGCAGATCTGATTATCCCCATTTTATGGCCAGAGAAGCAGAGGCCCCGGGAGGTTCAGTAACATCAGGGACCAAAGGGCAAGGCCGTGGCAGGACAGGGATCAGGACGTGACCTCCCAGCGCAATTATGGGTACGTCTACACAGCAGCTGGAGTGAGCAGTCCAGCCCAGCTCGACAGACTTGTGCCAAGAACAGCCGCGATGATGTCGCGCCGGCAGAGGCCCGAGCTGGCCACCTTAGCTTGGAGCAGGCGGGCAGGGTGGATCCGACCCTTCGCCAATGCCCACACTGTTATTTTTCCATGCATTTGCACAAGCCCTGCTGGCTCATGTCCGCTGGCCCAGGCTGAGAGGCTCACGCCCAGCTATGGCGCAGCCATGCCTTAAAAGGGCCAACACAACCCTGGGGCGTATAAGGCGAGGCACAGCAAGTCGGAGCTGGGCGAGGGTGTCACCTCTGCATACGGCATCAGCGTTCCTGGAGTGCTGGGTACGGCTCTGGGGTCTGCGTCTCAAAAAGGAGGTGGAAAAATCGGAAAGGCTTCGGAGAAAAGCTACAAGAACGATTTGAGGTCAGGAAAATCCATCTGCCTTATAGCGAGCGAGTCAAGCAGCTCGATTTAGCTCATTCCACAGAGGGATCAGAGGTCACTTGATCACGGAGTCTTAGTACCTCCCAGGGGAGGAGATTTGATAGCCATGGGCTCTTTGATCTAACAGAAAAGAGCCAGTGAGAGCCAATGGCTAGGAGCTGAAGGTAGATAAAAGTTTGTGCCTTACTGCTCATCCGAATTTAATGGGGAGGGGAATTAACGATCGGAACAACTTAGGAAGGGAGATGGCGGATCCTCCATCGTCTGGAGTCTTTACATCAAGACAGGAGGTCGTTCTAGGAGATCTGCTCTAGCTCCACCAGAAGCTATGGGCTTGATGCAGGAATTACGGGGGCAGGTCTCTGGCTTGTGCTACGCAGGAGGTCAGACTAGATGACCATAATGGTCCCTTCTGGCCTTCAAAATCTACCATCTTGGGAATCCCTGGCCCCCAGGCCTCTGTTCCGACCACTCAACCTCCAAACCTCTCTCCTCCAACTGGCATCCAGAAATGCCCCGCCCTCCTTCCAGCCACCCACACCACAGGACATGGGGTAGTTCACGGCACACAGGATGTCACAGGGACAGGCAGGGTGCGTTAATTATAGGGTCTGTTTTGGTGACTCCCACTCAAATAGCTGGGGGGGGCGGAAGATGGACAGGGTGCCCTCAGGAAACACCCATCTCCCCATTGCATTAGCAGTGTCCCATCGCGGACACCCCGACAGATTCCTCAGCGCAGAACCCCAGCCAGGCCTTCTCCTCCGAGCCCTCCCCCACCTCGCTCCCAGCCTTCCCTTGCACGGATGCCCCTCTGTTCTGAGGCCCCGACCCCACCGCCACCGCCAGCAGCAGACAAACTCTCCGAACTCGGTCCCCGAGAACAGGCTGTCAGAGGATCAGTCCCTTTCAGCAGCATGTTCTCCGGGCCGCGGCGCTCCGGGCGCGTGGGTGTGCGATGGAGGTCTCAGCTGCTCAGAAGCCACCTGCCCCAGGAACACCGACTGCACGGAATCGCTTTGCTCGTCCCCGAGGGAGGCAAGGCTGCCTTTGCCAGAACTGTCCAGGCACATCGCCGGGCAGCACGCCCCTGACAGCCCCGGGAGAGACCTGCACCCTGGCTAAGATAGTGCTCCAGCAACGCTGCGCCCTGGCCGGTCGATCAGCCACCGGGACCATACCCGTGACCTCGGCTTCGGCGCACACGCGGCTCGGCTGGGCGAGCAGAGAGAGCTCGGTAAGCGCACGCTGTCGCGGGCTCTGGCCCAGCCACCACTTCCGGGAGACAGCACTGCGTGGAGTGGGTTACTCCCAACCTTGACGCTGCAGCGGTGGAAGATCAGAAAAACCCCTGTGTAGACACAGCCGAGTTGATGCGTCACCCGGCCCGAGGAGATCACCAGCAGCTGCAGGCCGCCAGGGGAGAGTCTCTCCTAAGACGAAAGCCCACAGAGAAGGACTAGAACTGCGCAGGCCTGAATTAGGAGCGCCCAACAGCTGCACCTGCTGCATCAGAGGACAGGTGGGCTCCCGTGTAGGACAAGGACATCGCTAAGGAGAATGGGTGAGCCAAGCTCTGGCTTTACCCCCACGGACGGTGCAGAGTTGGAAGGCAGAGACATGTAGTCATGCAACCCTCTACGCTTTGCGGCCACGGTAAGGCACTGTGTGGGACCCACGCAGCAGATGATTGCAGAGGAGGGACCCCTCATCAGAGGTTCCTCACGGGAGGGCGAGGAGGGCTGGGGTGATTACCAGCACTGAGAGGCAGTCTTGCCTAGTGACTGCAGCACTCGAGTGGGACGCAGGAGACCTGGGTTCATTGCTCTGCCACTGGCCGACCAGGTGACGGCCCCTCGGTGCCTCAGGTTCCCCATCTGTAAGAGAGGAGGATGATTCGGACTCTCTTTGGAAAGCTTTCTTTGAGGTCTGCTGATGAAAAGGAGTGCTACGTAAGAGCTAGAGATTATGATTATTACAAAGAGAAGGCAGGCGAGAGTTGGGGTGCCTGGTAGGGCTGAAGTCTGAATATCACAATGTGCTGCTCTGGTTTGTATTAATCCTGTTAATTGGGGACACTAAACTCTCCTGAACACACACCATGAAGGGAGGGGACAGACAGACGAACTTCCTCTGCGATAGATTTCCTGTACCAAGCACAGGCTAATGTCTGGAGCTAGCCACTCAGATACCATGGCAATGAAGGGCCAGAGAACCAGATCAGACTAGACAGCTGGAAATAAAAAGGACGTTCCTAATGAAGTGCATGCTCCTAGT